ATGCAAGCAGTCCAAAGCCTGGCTAAGAGGAGTTTCAATGATAGAAAACAGACTGATGGGACATATAATAGGCCTAATAGGTCACAACTTACTTGACTTCAAGGATATTGGTACAAAACGCCTTTAACCTACCAATCTACAGGGAAGAGAGGAAACAGAAGAACACAATCAATGGCACCAGCAATCAGCAAAATGCAGACTCAGGAAAGATACAAGACGCTCTACCTCATATTCAAATAATAAACTGTAAGGGAAAAAAGAAGACGGAACCTACAGACTAAGAGACACTTGAGATACCTACCAGTTGCAATGTGTGCACCTTATTTGCATCCCGATACAAACACTCTTAAAAAAGGAAAATATATGACATAACTAGGGAAATTTAACTGGATATTTCATGTTATCAAGGAATCACTGTTAAGACTTTTCTTAGGTATGAAAAATGGTATCATGATTTTTTCCCTTCCTTTTTTTGTTCTATGAGTCCTATCTTTCAGAGACAAATATTGTAATATTTGCAAATGGTTAGGTCTTTGCCTGAGGTTGGGGAATCTGCTTCTAATCTCACTCACCTGGTTGATCCCCAAAATCCACAAACCATGTGGGCTTCTCCACAGGGCCATTCCTGTCATGTCAGCTGGCTTACCCGAGTCAATGATCCAAGTGAGAATAAAAGACCAAATTGGAAACCATAGTGTATTTTATAACCCAATCCTGAAAATGACACTCCATCACTTGTACTGCTGGCCATACAGACCAACCCTAGCACAACATAGGAAGAGACCACACAGAAGTGTAAATACCAGGAGAAGGAGATTGCTGCAGGACATCTTAGAGGGTATAAAAGAGAACTTTTAGGAACTGTTGAAGCAAGGTGATGAATACATTAGGGTTCAGACTATTATCTCTATTTTTGTATATATTTGAAAATTTCCATAATAAAGTTTTTCAAAGCTTTTTTTTTTAAAAAAAGGATAAAAGCACAGAAATGGAACAAGAAGGCAAAAAATGGCTATTCAGTGGTAGTAGTGACTTTGTGCCACCCCATGAAGCAGCCATATCCCACAGAGACCCAATGGTTGGCCAGAAGGACTGCGTATTAGCAGCTGGACTAGCAATCCAGCACAAAGCAGGATTTTTTCAAGTCTGAGAAGTCCTCATCCAGCCCAAAATTTGGTGCACAAGCATACGAATCACACCATTTAAACACTGATCTCTATATCATGAAGTAGTTCACTGTGCAAACACTAGTGTTTATAATATATTTAATATACTTATAAGCTGCTCATTAGTAAAAGTATCTTCAAGAACCATGTAAAAGATTTTAAAAAATAAACAATGAAATGTGCTGAGAGTGGTGATGTATTTAGGGGAATTATTAAAAGCACAAAAACAACTCTACTATAAACAATAATAGTTAAGGTTCTTTTTAATGCCGACATCACTGAATTTAACTGAGACTTGCCTGAGGAGTCTAGCTTTCTTCAATAATTCTTAAATTACTCAGGAAAGTACACAGTTTGTGAAAATCTAAGTTTACAATGAAGCTTCTCTTGACTGATGTCCACTTAACCAATTTGCTGGATGAATACTCTATATCCCCTCAGTTTAATTTTTACATGCACAATATTCAATGGTTACCTTATTATGACTTATTCATAGCTGTGCCATGTAATAAACTATGATTACCTTTGCCTTCTCTGAACAACTGTAAAAAATTTTCCCTGGATTTAATGATTGTTTAATTTTTTTCTTGCGATGGTTTTCTATTTACTTATTACTAATTCAATCCCAGATTCTCCATCAATTGTCTAAATCTCTCCAAGACATTCAGCCTTATGAGGTATGACTTCAACAACATCTCCTTGAAGTCTCTCCTGGTGAGCATTTTCTGAGCTGCTCCCACCTGGGCTGGCTGCCTCTCTGCCTGCACAACTCTCAACCCGTGGCTGTCCTTACACCATCTTCCAGAGATTCCCACCATCTCTTGCACATCAGATCTCCCGTCTTCTACATCCTGTGTCAACCTTTTCCTTGATTTAAGTCCTCTTTTGGTGGAGCACAAGCCAGTAACTTCCCAAGAAAAGATATGTGGTGGCAGTTCAATGTTTTGAGACCTTGCATTCCCAAAATGTCCTTATTTAACCTGTGCACTTTATTGTTAATTTGGATGCATACAGAATTCTAGGTTGGAAGTTATTTTCCTTTAGAATTTTGCTCCTTTGCTTCCAGAGTTGCTGCTGAGAGAAGATACTCTGATAAATAATCCTTTGATTGTGATCTGCTTTCTTCTCCAGAGAAACTTATAAGAGGTCTTTTTCAGGGAATGATTGCCAGTGTTCTGAAAGTCACAATGCCTTGGGGGTGCAATCTGTTTTCATCTATTGTCCTGAAAACTTAATGGTCTTTCAATCCAAAACCTGTACAGTCCAGTTCTGGAAAATCTGGTGGATAAATTTGCTCCTTCCCACCTGCCTATCCCTCTCCTCACCTTTTTTGTTATTCTCTTTGAGACTCCTATTAATCAAATATTGGTCCTCATTGATAGTCAATTCAATTTCATAAGCTTCTACTATTGTCCATCTCTTTGATCTATTTTTATGGAAGATTTCCTCCCAACCTGCTACTGAGTTTTGTTTTGTTTTAATTCCCAAAAGCTCTTTTTGGTTCTCTCAGTCTATTTTTTGAATGGTATCCTATTCTTGTTTTATGGTTGTAATATGTTTTCTTATTTCATTGGGATTACTAATTATTTCTTTTTAAGTTTTCTTCCCCCTGAATAGTCAGTCTTTGCTTCCTCCAAGTTGCTTAAAGTTTTGAATTATACTTTACATGTTTGAGGGTTTCCTGTGATGTCTAGTATGCCTTGGTCATCTATTACTAAAAATGGAAGGCCAAAAAACTGAATATAAGCTCTGAATATTTAAGTGAGGCTTAGTGACTATGAGTATACTCCACTGGAGTGATCAGGCTATGCTATTAAGTTGGAGAATCTCTTATGTCAGTGTTTGCAGTTGTTTTGCTTTTCTCTAGGGCTAGTCCAATTCTGCTGATGAAGATCTTCCAATCTCCTGCCTGGAGGGATCAAGCCTGGCTGCTGGCATTAATGGGAGCCACAGAAAGCAAGGTGGCTAGGGGGTCTACCTTTCTCTGTACAGTTCCCTTGCTTTTAACTGGGCCTGTTGTCCTCTAGTCCAGATACCTTGTATTACCTTCTTCGTATGGCACAACTGGGCCTTATATTGCTGGTAGGAGTGTAAGTTGGTACAACCATCTTGGAAAAATGTTTGGCAGCACGTGCCATAAGTGTATACCCTATTTCTTTCCCCAATACGTACACCAAATAGAAATGAGAGCTTAAGTCTTCCTAAAATGTGCACAGAAATGTCACCATAGCCTTTATTCACAATAGTCAATAAGTGGAAACAACACAAATATCTATCAACATGTAAATAAACTATGGTATATTCACATAACAAACCACACACTGCAATGGACAAGAATAAGTTTCTGATATATGCAACAATATGGATCTCAGAGACACCAAAGAATATAAACAGTATGGGTCCATTTATAAACAGTTCAAAGAAAGACAAAGCTAATCTATGTTTAGAGATCAAAGCAATGGCTGCTCCTGGGGGTGGGAGTATTGACTGGAAAGGAACACAAGAGATCTTTCAGGGGTGATGGAAATGTTCTATAACTTGATTTGGATGATGGTTACACAGGTACATACATATGTAAAAATTCAGTAATCTGTATGCTTATGACTGTATACTTCACCATTTTAAGTTACACACAACTTAAAAGAATCTTGTAAAAAATTAATTATATACACCAAGGGGGGAAAGCGGCAGGGGTGGGTGGGTGGGATGAACTGGGAGATTGGGACTGACATGTATACACTAATATGTATAAAACAGATAACTAATAAGAACCTGCTGTATAAAAAAAATAAAATTCAAATAAAAAATTAATTATATACACCAAGGGGGGAAAGCGGCAGGGGTGGGTGGGTGGGATGAACTGGGAGATTGGGACTGACATGTATACACTAATATGTATAAAACAGATAACTAATAAGAACCTGCTGTATAAAAAAAATAAAATTCAAATAAAAAATTAATTATATACACCAAGGGGGGAAAGCGGCAGGGGTGGGTGGGTGGGATGAACTGGGAGATTGGGACTGACATGTATACACTAATATGTATAAAACAGATAACTAATAAGAACCTGCTGTATAAAAAAAATAAAATTCAAATAAAAAATTAATTATATACACCAAGGGGGGAAAGCGGCAGGGGTGGGTGGGTGGGATGAACTGGGAGATTGGGACTGACATGTATACACTAATATGTATAAAACAGATAACTAATAAGAACCTGCTGTATAAAAAAAATAAAATTCAAATAAAAAATTAATTATATACACCAAGGGGGGAAAGCGGCAGGGGTGGGTGGGTGGGATGAACTGGGAGATTGGGACTGACATGTATACACTAATATGTATAAAACAGATAACTAATAAGAACCTGCTGTATAAAAAAAATAAAATTCAAATAAAAAATTAATTATATACACCAAGGGGGGAAAGCGGCAGGGGTGGGTGGGTGGGATGAACTGGGAGATTGGGACTGACATGTATACACTAATATGTATAAAACAGATAACTAATAAGAACCTGCTGTATAAAAAAAATAAAATTCAAATAAAAAATTAATTATATAAATGTTTTGTTAATAATGAAGTTTAAAATCCCTACTAATCTATCAAGATAAACAATTATCTTCCAAAGCCTAAAATATATAGTCCCAATGATCACTAGAACTTGAGGTATTATTTTATCAGCATTTAATTATTTAAGTGGGGGGGTAAGTAGTAACTTAGTGATGTAACAATCACTTTAAGAACAGTCAACACTAAAGTGCAATTTATTGGGAATTCATAACATACTTTTCATTCATATTAAATACTATTAGGACCACACTAGGTACTTACCCTTCTAACCTAACATCTGGTAAAGATCTGTTGAGTGCAATCATCTCACTTGCCATTAAATTGAACTGATTGATTTTAAACATCTCTTTCATCTTTTCTTGATCCTCTTTAGGAATGACGACTGGTTTCCCCATTTCTCCAGGACCTTCATGAGGCTTTTGTACTGGCTCTAGAACTAAGAATAAGGAGGAAACTTAACTAACATTAATTGTATAACAATTGATTCATGTTTCTGTTTAATAACATTTGAGTTTAAACTATGTCCTCAACAACCAGAGCCATTTCTGAGCCCATCCTCTCCCAGTCTGAGACATGGGCTAGGGGCTGCCTTGTCCTCCGCTTCCACGCCTTGTCCTGACTCAAGACCTCCTCACTTTGCACCACTCACCTGAATCACTTCATGGCCTTGGCACTCCCATCTTGGATATCGTTACCACATTAATCTCCCTAAAGCATAGCCTTCATTGTGTTATTCTCATGGTCTCCTAGAGGCCAATCTCTTTAATAGGAAATTTAATCTAACTTCCCAAACCCACCACTTGCTGGGGTCTCCACCTCCCATCCCCCAGATCCTCATCCTCCAGTCAAACAGCACCCACTACTTTCCTCCATGTGCCTCATGTCTTCTTGCGTTGGTGCCTTTGCTCACACTGGCCCCTCCCTTGTCATCTCCTTCCTACCTCTACCTCTGCAATACCAAACTCACACTTGTCCTTCAAGGCCCAGCTAAAACAGCTTCTCTCCTGCAGCTTTTCTGCATCTCTCTAGAGTGATCATTTACTACTCTTGACTACTACATCATTTTGTCCAGGGCTCTATGTCTCTAATCAATAGTTCTCTCTTATTATGATTGCTAAACCTGCCTATGACACCCTCCCCTAACTAGATTATGATCTCTTTTTTAGCTGGAGTATTTTGTTCATTCATGTACCTTCTGTGGAGTTTAGCAGTGTTTTACAGGCATTTTATAACTATATGCTAAATTAATATGTGAGTAAAAGTGTTATTCAAAGTAAGTCAAAATGAAATCCTAGAATTGATTATAGTAGACATTATAATAAGCATTATGCAAGGTGGAGCATCAAGAAATATAATTCTTGAGAATTTCTTTTATGCTTTGAGCTTTTTATTTGTTCAAACATTCACTGTAAACTTTTTTATTTTATTGCACTTAAGTGAGAAAATACAGCCTTCCAACAATAAATATTTAATGAGCACCTACATCATAGCAGCCACTGCCAGGCACTGAGGATCAGTGCAGACAAGACATTACATGTTCTCTACCCTCATGTGGCTTAAACTTCCTACCTTTTGAAAGGTATTAACATTTCCTTTGTGGGCTAGAAAAATGCTTCATTTTTAAAAATGCTAAGTGGAATGTGTTAAAATTATGTATTCCATATTTGAAATATATCTAGTAAATAACCTTATTAATGAAAAAAAAGAAATATAATTCTAATCAGAAGTAATGTTATCTCGTAATATACAGTTGTCCCTCATTATCCATGGGGGACTGGTTCCAAGACACCCCCCTCACCCCGCCCTGCAGATACCAAAATCCACAGACGCACAAATCCCTTATATAAAAAGGTGTGGTACGGTCAGGCCTCTGTATAACCCACGGATATGGAGGACCGGCTATATTAGTAAAAAGAATAATATTCCTGATCAGCAATTCCCAAATCTTGTTCCTTGCTATATGCTTTTGAGATGCTGAAAAGTGTTTCAAGAAAAATATGTTCTAGAATATATTAAATTCGAAAAAACAATTGTTAAACTTCCCATCTAAGAGGGATGGGTAGAAAATGAGGTGGGGATAAGAATGGGATGAAAATATCTGTTTTCTACATTACTTGTTTATTTTTAAAGCTGAAAGTTATTCTCCTACAGTTTGTTTTTTAGGCATCCCCGAAAGTCTCTGGACAAAAATGAAGACATCAAGGCAGTAGACAAACCAGCTCATTTCAGCCAAGCTTCATCTGTCCAAGAACAGCTCTAGTTGGTAAAGCTGACCTACAGGATGACTGTTCAGATGGGGTACAAAGTAACCTACCAATACCAGAGCTGCAGAATATTATTCACTGTGTCTTCAAAAACTCTGTCTAGAATATAAAATCGATTCTGGAGGACTATCAAGGAAAAAAATGGTGGATAATAACTTTCCCCATTCTCACAATGAACTGTGATTCCAGGAAGAAAGTTAAAATATTAGAAAATAACTTAAATTATAAGAAACTCTTGTAATACAATTTTTAAAAACAAATCCCGGCTAATTTTTGTCAAGTAAGCTCTTTAAATATAAGAATTAAAAAATTCTCAGTGACAAAAATTTTCAATGCCAAGTGTAATAAAAACTAAGTACAGAAGTATAATGCCTATATAAGCTTTTAAAACTTTAAAAATCATAGAAAACTCTCAGAGTCAATTCTTACTTACCTGTCTCTGAAAATAAAGAGTAATTAACAGATTTGGGGGTTGGGACATTCAGGGGTCAGTATGAAGCAGCGGAGTTCTAGAGGGAACAGTTATTTTATCTGCATGGCACAGATAACCTCAAGAGTAGGTGGGAGACATCTAGTGGCCCTGATTATAAATATCCTTCAGTTACCTGTGCCCTATTTTAGCGTAAGATAATGCTTTAAAGAAAAGTTAAAATGGAAATATTTTCACACTACTCAGTTTTTTAATTGAGTATTAAGTTATACAGAACACCATCTATAACATATTTTTGCTGGGGGCAGGGTGGGGGTAGATCCTGAATCTGGTCAAGCCTCTGGACTTACTTACCAATTCACAGGAAATATAGGGGACAGAGGAAATGATAAAAAAAAACATTAAAGGGATGCAAATCCTGACTGTGGGAAACTGGAGAAAACAAAGAAAGCAATTTCTTCTTCTTCAACAACAACCAAAAACGGGGGGTGGGGAGGACAAAAAGAAAGAGGTATCCATGTATCTATGCCACAAGACTAGCTTTGAGTTGATAACTGTCGAAGTCAGATGATGGGTATATGGGAGATCAATTTTCTATTTTTCTCTACTTTTGTTTATGTTTGGAAAGTTTCCATGAGGACTGGGGGAGCATGAAGGAGCACTCAAGAAATTATTACTGTAAGAACCAGTAAGTATAAACTTGATTGCTTACAGCCTAAGAGACTGTATGACCAGAAAGTTAAAATCCTGCCCGATCACAGTGAAGTAAAACTCTAGCCTTGAGGTCTTAAAGAAATGGGCAAAACTGTACAACATATAAAATCCTCCTGGCTGCAATACTTTACAAATTTGGTCACCTGGTACTTACTAATAATCTAAATATCTGGTATAATACCCACATTATATACTTTAACCTACTGATACACATGAGATCTCAGAGCCGCATTTAAAATGGCCATTAATCAAAAGTTATATGACTACTGCATGATTTACAGAATCCACCACAATATTCTAATTTAGAAATTATAATATCCTGAAGAATTACACCAACCAGTAAACTAATTTTCTTTGGCAAAGATGCCAGGATAGAATGCAACTAGCTAGTGAATATTTTTACTACTAATGCACTTGCAGTGCAACTAACAAAGAAGATAGTAAGCATTAACTTTCCTTGTATTCTACTTACCAGTCTTTCATGTAAATTAAAAAAGAGTTCAGTGAAACTTGTTTGAAAGCAAATGAAATGGGTTTGGATATTATCATTTCCCGAACTGAAAAAACAAACTTTCGTTGCCATAAAATTTTATAGGCAGATCATTTCTAAAAATCAAATCAACTTTGACAAGGGGGTGACTAAGGTGTTATTCCAAAGTATTATGTGAGAATAAACATTTTATTATACACTTTAGTTAAACTTCATTTACATGACAATGTAGAGAAGTTTCATGTTTTAGAAAATTTAATTTTTGAAAAAACTACAGGTTCACTCTGAATGCTGCCAAATAAGATTCACATATACAAACCACATGACATACCTATGAATGTGTTTTAATAAATCTTACAAATTTCTAGTTTGTATTTTTCTCATGGAAGTGGAATAAGGAGGTATAAAGTTACATGATACCCATTTGGGGAAGATGGGGAAGATAAAAGGCTAAAATCATTTCTCCCAAACAATTTTCTTACCTTATTATACAACCATCTTTACTATTTTTATGCACTATATTTCACTTATTCCAAAATATATTTTCCCATATCTTAACATCTCTGAAATTGGGATGTGGCTTACAATGATAACTGAAATGTTTTTGCTTTCTTAGTGTATATAATATGTATTCTATAAACAAAGCAAATTACCTGATTTTTTTAGCATCAAAATATTATTGCATATAACAAAATTCATTGATAACTCTCTGCTACGTCAACACCTATTAGTTTCAACCCTCATTCCAATTTTATATTCAATTCATTTGTAATGTGTTCAAATAAAACTCTAAGCACACTAAAAGTCTGTAATAAAGAGTTTCTGAAAGCCTTAGTAACAATATTTTTAAGTTTTTAATCATGAGAAGTTTCTTCTATAAAATATGTTCTCAAACTTTTCCTACTGTTTGACAACTGAAATAATTCTAGCAGAAGTACATGAAAACTTGAATAATCAACATTTTAATAATCTGAAAATCAAGTACAGTGCTGGCACAAAGGATTAATTCCTACTTGAAATTGCATCTGTAAAAATATTGAATAGTCTATGCAACATCCAAATCCATAAATTGAATGAGTTAATTCTAAAAAGCAGAAGAGTTGTAAAAATATTCCCAAGACATAACCCACACTAACCATGTTTTTTCAAAGGGAATCTAATCTAATTCTCTAGCAACAGAAGAATTTTGCTATTCTCAGATAGTCTGGGGTATAAAATACAAGAATAAAACTATGAGAGAGAACTGCTCAGGAAAATAAAACAAAACAAAACCAACCCTCCGAAACACCAAAGACTGGCCTGTTGTTACCTGATGCAGGCAAGTAACAAGTAAATGTAAGAATCCTAGAAAACTAAATATATCAATGATAATCTTATAAGCATTATCATAAGGATAATGAATCCATTCTGCTTAAAAATAAGACAACTTTTTGCACACAATAGTATAAAGAACACAATTTGGTAAATTTCACCAAATTGGCACTGTAAAGCAGTTCAAAGAAGTTCAGAAATGAGGTCCTTACAATACTGAGACAATT